AAGGCAGGTGGATCACGAGGTCAGGAGTTCAAGACCAGCCTGGCCAAGATGGTAAAACTCCATCTCTACTAAAAATACAAAAATTAGCTGGGCATGATGATGGATTCCTGTAATCCCAGCTACTCAGAAGACTGAGGCAGGGAAATGCTTGAATACAGGCAGCAGAGGTTACAGTGAGCCAAGATCACACCACTGCACTCCAACCTGGGCAACAGAGCGAGACTCCGTCTCAAAAATAAATAAATAAATAAATAAATAAAGCTATACTCTCTCAAATGGTAGCCACTAACTTCATGTGGGTATTTTAATTAAGATTGATTAAAATGGCCCAAAGATTTAAACAGGTACCTCTCCAAAGATGACATGGGCTGGTCAATAAGCACATGAAAAGATGTTCAATATCAGTAGCTGTTAAGGAACTGTAAGTTAAAACCACAGTGAGATATCCTTACACACCAATTAGAATGGCTAAAATAGAAAATACTGGCAGTACCACATGCTGACGAAGATGTGGAATCAACCAGGTCTTTCATATGATACTGGTGGGAATGTAAAATTGTATAGCTACTCTGGTAAACAGTTTGGCAGTTCATAAGGTTCAAGATATACTTACTATAGAACCCAGCATTCACACTTGTATTTACCCAAGAGAAATGGAAACTATATTCACACAAAGCCTCTGCACTAATATTCATAGCAGTTTTGTTTGTAATAAGCCAAAACTGGAAACAACATAAATACCCTTTAATGAGTGAATGGGTAAACAGTGATAGATCCATGAAATGGAATACCACTCAGCAAGAAAAAGGAATGAACTGTTGATACATGTGGTAATGTGAGTGAATCTCAGAAACATTAAATGAAAGAAGCCAGTCTCAGAACATTACATACTGTATGACTGCATATGTAAAACATTTTTTTACATTACAAAATTATAGTGGGGGAGAATAGATCAGTGTTTGCTGGGAATTATGGGCAGGATGAGGGTGTGGCTACAAAAGGGTAGTATGAGGAATTTCTTAGGGGTTGATGGGAAAGTTCTGTATTCTGATTGTGGCAGTAGTTATTATACAAGGAAAAGAGGGAGAAAAAAAGAGGGTGAGTTCATGTAAAACTGGTAAAATCCAAATAAGGTCTGTAGTCGATAGTACCAATAGCAGTTTCCTGGTTTTGATCATTGTACTATGGTGATGTAGGGTGTCATCATTGGGGGAAACTGGGGAAAGACTTCACAGGAACTCTCTGTGCTGTTTTTTCAACTTCTTTGTGAGTCTAACATGATTTCAAAGTTTCAAGTTTTTTTTTTTAATCAAAATTCCATTCTTCAGTTGCACTAGCCTCATTTAAAGTGCACAGTAGCACCATGTGGCTAATGTGCCATATTGGATAGTGCAGATAAAGAATATTGCCACCAATGCAGGAAGTTTTATTGGACAGCACATGTCTGACTTTAGCCAGTGTTTTTCCTTCCTTAACTGTTTCAAATTCCAATATAACAGGAATACTTTATTGTACTTTCTGTTACATTACCTTGTTGACTAGTTGTTTTGGTTATATTCAGAACTAGAGAAATACTTCCCCTCTTTGTTTTTTCAAATTTTAGAGAAAAGTAGTTTTTATGTCAAGTTAAGAATTTTTTTGGCCAGGCGCAGTGGCTCATGCCTGTAATCCGAAACTTTGGGATACCAAGGCAGACAGATCACCTGAGGTCAGGAGTTCGAGACCAGCCTGGCCAACATGGTGATACCCCATCTCTACTAAAAATACAAAATTAGCCAGGTGTGGTGGCACATGCCTGTAGTCCCAGCTATTGGGAGCCTGAGACAGGAGAATTGCTTGAACCCAGGAGGCAGAGGCTGCAGTGAGCTGAGGTGGCGCCACTGCACTCTATCCTAGGCAAGACAGACAAAAAATTTTCTCAAAAAAAAAAAAAAAAAAAACAATTTTTGGACACATGTTTTAATAAGCATTTGGATATTTAAGTTTTCCAACATTTATGTATTTTGCCTCTGGACCAGTTTTATAACTGGACGAGGAAATAATCCCAATCTCTCATATAGTTTTCCTACTATACTTTCTCAACACTATCCTTTGTGGTTACCTTTCCTTTTATCTTTACCCAAAAGCCCTTTCAAAATCTTGGACTTCTCTAAAAAGGGCTGTTTCTTCCCTGTGTTTTGGATATACATCTCTTGAAAAGGTAGCGTGACCATATTCTCATCTTTTGTTCTATAACATTTTTCCTCTTTGTCTTTTTTATATTTTCATTTAAGAATTACTAGTCATCTCCTTACTGTGGAGTTTTTTTCCAATTCAGCTTCATTTACCTTGTGTGATCTCTAGTTTTATAGTTTTATGTAAACCACCACTTGAGATTTGAAGACAAGGAAGTGGAGGATGAGACAACAGGTTAAGATCCATTTATATAGCAACAAAGCTAAGATACTGGAGGACAAGAAGAATGAGATGTGACCCACCTGAGGAAAACCACAAAGAGATAAAAGAGTATCAGAATTCAGATTTATATCTCCCTGGGTGAAAAATCTGAACATTGTAATGATGTCAGTATTCCTTCAAAATAATTTATAAGTTTGTTAAAATTGTAATCAAAGTCCAGTAGGATTTTTCTTGAAATTGACAGTTCAACAATTCATCTACATGACCATCAAAGAACATTTAGAGGGTAAAAAAAGAATCATATCAGTTAACAGGGTAGAAAAGAAAAAAAAAAAAAGAATCAGAACTAGGGATCAAGGAGGCAATGCTAGGTAGTAAAACTTAATAAACAGTAATTTACAATAATGTAGTACTGATACAAAAACATAGTAATTACTGGATCCCAAGAATCAGGAAATATAGTCTAGCCAGTATAAGAATTCAAAACAAGAAAGTATTCTTCATGAATTAATTAATTGTACTAATTGAGTCTATATTCAGTAAGTCTCTAATACCTAAATGGGCAACAAATAAAACTAGTTTACCCAAGAACAATAAATAGGCAAAATGAACCATTTTCCATTATTAAATAAAATGTGAAAACAATGAAGTACTGTTTCTCATTATTAAATGAGTAAAGATTTTCATTCTTTTTTTTTTTTTTTTTTGAGACCAAGTCACAATCTGTTGCCAGGCTGGAGTGCAGTGGCATGATCTCAGCTTACTGCAACCTCCACCTCCCGGGTTCAAGAGATTCTTCTGCCTTAGTCTCCTGAATCGCTGGGACTACAGGTGTCCGCTGCCACACCCAGCTAATTTTTTGTATTTTAGTAGAGATGAGGTTTCACCATGTTGGCCAGAATGGTCTCGATCTCCTGAGCTCATGATCCACCAGCCTCGGCCTCCCAAGGTGCTGGGATTACAGGCGTGAGCCACCATGCCCGGCAGATTTTCATTCTTATGACACCAGTGTAGTGATGGTGCAGTGAAACTAATACCTTCCTTCATTGTTATTATCCACTTCCCATCATTGCCTCATTGCACCCTCCTTGATCAAGTAGTATCCTACTTCTGTCCTCCTACGTTCTATCCTTCAGCAAATCATGTTGGCTGTACCTTTGACGTATAGACAGCATCTAAGTATCCCCACAATTGCTATACTGGTCCAAGCCTCCCAGCCTTCTTGCCGGCCTGTTGAAGTAGGCCCTAACATGTTTCCATGCTTCCTATCTTGCTACTCTGAAGTCTCTTAACACAACAGCTAAAATTACCAATTTAAAATGGAAGTGTGATCATGTCATTCTTCTGCTCAGTAGCCACCAGTTGTTTCCCAGCTCACTTAGGGTTAAGACGAATAAAACTTAACAGTTAAGACCACAGTGCTCTACAGACTGCATGCTTTAGACTCCCACCTTTCCTTTCTGGCCATGTCATCTCCCACATTGTCCCCTTGCTCCACCCACTTTTGTCTCTTTGCCATTCTTTTAGTTAAATAATGCATGCTCCACTCTAGGGCCTTTGCACTTAAGGTTATTCTGCCCTGGAGGATAGACCTCATAATACCTCCTTGGCCTGCTCCCTCTCTTCTTTCAGGTCTCTGCTCTTCAGATGTCAGTAAGTCTTCTCTGACCACTCTACATAAACAGCACTCTCCCAACCTCTCTAAACCCTTGCCCTGCATCATTTTTCTCCTTAACACATGCCACCATATAATAAGTTTATATGTTTAACTTGTATATTGTGTTTTCTTCCCTTTGTTTGATTTGCTGCTTTATCACTAGTATATACAAAGAGCCTGGTACACACAGTAGGTAGTCAGTATTTGTTGACTGAATAAATACATTGACAAAACCTTCTTGGAAAGCAACTATAGTATGTTTTAAAAGCCATTTTTTTTAAAAAAAAAAAAAGTGTGATGAGTAAATTTGGTCCACTTGATGCAGAGAAGAGAGAGATATCTGCATGGGGCAGAGTCTGGGAGATGAGATCAAGATCAGTAATGAAAGTTGGTTTTTCTCTCAGTAAGCAAAGAGAAAATTATGGGAGAATAATTTCTAAGTGTAGAGGAAGTTTGAGACTCAAGAACAGCTACTAGGTGTTGATAGTCTTTGAGAAGACTAAGTTGATGGAAGCAAAAGGTTGGTGCAGAGGCATAGTAGAAAATATGATTCTAGATGGATGGGAACAGGTGTTGAGGGACTTCAAAGTAAGTCAAAAGAGGTAGACTTGCTATGATCCATGAGGAGATCAGAAGTGTGAAGTCTTAAACTGTGAGGGATGAGAATGCCATATAAATCTAAGCTTCTTAGTATCATGTAAGGAGCATGCAATAAGAAATTCATCTCAGAGGTAAATGTGACAAGGCAGTGTTGAGGTAATATTACTCTAAGCAGTAAGGAGTGTACGGTGTGATGAAACAAAGTCATGAGTTGAGTATCAGCTGTAAAGGATATGGCAGATAATAAGGCTTGGTGATTAACTGCATATGGGATGCGAAGAAAGAGGAAATTAAAAGTTCCAGTATTAAAAAAATTTCCTTTTAATTATTTTCTTTTTTATTACAGGTTTCTCTGTCATTCCCAGAAAAATGGATCATTTAAACTTTTGGAGGACTGAGTTATCACAGTACTTCTCTACTACCAACTAAGATTTATGACAGTCAATTTCTAACAGCAAATTTCCATGTTATAGAACTGTTGAAGAACTAAAAGAAGATATTCTTTCATCAAAATAATTCTATGGTATCATGATATAACTAAATAAATTTAAAAGCACAGTTAGTAAATTATTAAATTTGCTAGTACAAGCACACATGTGCATCAGCTACTGTATTCTGATAATTACCGAACCTCAAATATAAATGGTTTGCCTTCAAGGCAAAAGCCATTATATATGAAAGAAACCACTGAACATTGTTTTTAAATATACTTTCAGCTAAGTGTCATTTAGGAGAATTCATGAAGCAAGTTCTAGAAAGTTCCAAGTCCAAACAGTAAGTGGTTTTGATATTATGGCAGCAACTTACAGACTTGTGGTTAGTACTGTGAACCACTACAGCAGCGTGGTGATAGACCGACGTTTTGAGCAAGCTATACATTATTGCACTGGAACCTGCCACACTTTCACACATGGAGTTGACTGCATTGTGGTACATCATAGTGTTTGTGCAGACCTCTTGCACATCCCTGTGTCTCAGTTCAAAGATGCGGATCTGAACTCTATGTTTCTACCCCATGAAAATGGGCTTTCCTCAGCTGAAGGAGACTATCCCCAGCAGGCCTTCACAGGCATACCCAGGGTCAAGAGAGGATCTACATTTCAGAATACCTGCAACTTAAAGGACATTGCAGGAGAAGCAATCAGTTTTGCCAGTGGGAAAATAAAAGAATTTTCCCTTGAAAAACTCAAAAACTCTAACCATGCAGCTTACAAAAAGGGAAGGAAAGTTAAGTCTGACTCATTTAATAGGAGGTCAGTTGATTTAGACTTGCTTTGTGGCCATTATAACAACGATGGGAATACCCCATCTTTTGGTTTACTGCGGAGTTCCTCAGTTGAGGAAAAACCTTTGTCTCATAGAAACTCGCTTGATACGAACCTGACTTCCATGTTTCTTCAAAACTTCTCTGAAGAAGACTTGGTTACTCAGATTTTGGAAAAACATAAAATAGATAATTTTTCTTCTGGGACAGACATAAAGATGTGCTTGGACATTTTGTTGAAATGCTCCGAGGATTTGAAAAAATGCACAGACATCATAAAACAATGCATAAAGAAAAAGTCAGGGAGTAGCATCAGTGAAGGAAGTGATAATGATACAATTTCTAGCTCCGAAGCTGTGTATATGAATGTAATGACCAGGTTAGCATCGTATCTGAAAAAGTTACCATTTGAATTCATGCAATCTGGGAATCATGAGGCTCTAGATTTCACAGAACTGATTAGTAATATGCCTAGCTTACAGCTGACTCCCTTCTCCCCAGTATTTGGCACTGAACAACCCCCTAAATATGAAGATGTTGTTCAGCTCTCAGCTTCCAACTCTGGACAATTTCAGACTGTTGAATTGCAAGATGACAAGCCTAATTCCAGGAAGATGGACACTATACAATCCATTTCAAACAACTCCACAGATTCCTTATATAACTTAGAGGTAAATGATCCTAGAACCCTAAACGCTATCCAGGTTCAATCACAGTCATTAACCATGAACCCTTTAGAAAATATTTCTTCTGGAGACTTAATGGAAACTCTTTATATTGAAGAAGAGTTAGATGGAAAGAAAGCATTAGATAAAGGACAACAGACAGAGAATGGACCCAGTCATGAGTTGTTAGAGATAAACGAACGTAGAGCAGAATTTCCAGAACATGCCACTCATCTTAAAAAATGCCCTGCCTCAATGCAAAATGAAATTGGTAAGATATTTGAGAAATCATTTGTTCATCTGCCTAAAGAAGACTGTAAATCAAAAATTTCTGAAGCTGAAGAGGGAGATCAGAGAGATTTTACAAATTCCAATAGCCAAGAAGAAATAGATAAATTGTTAATGGATTTGGAATCATTTTCACAGAAGATGGAGACTTCTCTAAGGGAGCCACTTGCGAAGGGTAAAAACTCTAATTCTTTAAATAGTCACAGTCAGTTGACTGGTCAGACTCTTGTAGATTTTGAGCCTAAATCTAAAGTCTCTTCACCCATAGAAAAAGTCTCACCTTCCTGTCTAACAAGGATTATTGAAACCAATGGACACAAAATAGAGGAAGAAGACCGAGCCCTCTTACTGCGAATCCTGGAAAGCATTGAAGACTTTGCTCAAGAACTAGTTGAATGCAAATCAAGCAGAGGGAGCCTATCACAAGAAAAGGAAATGATGCAAATTTTACAGGAAACCTTGACAACGTCCTCCCAGGCCAATTCATCAGTCTGTAGAAGTCCTGTTGGTGATAAAGCCAAAGATACTACTTCAGCAGTTTTGATTCAGCAGACTCCAGAGGTGATCAAGGTAAGACCCAGCAATTTTGAGTACTAGCAACTCTTCAAAAAATGTTTTAGTGTTTGAAAATTTTATAAAGAGAAACTATTTTCTGTTACCCATTTTTTGTTCTAAAGCTCCTGTCCTACACTAGGAATGATCTCACTCTGCTCAGAGCCAGCAAAAAGCAAAGATTTTACAAGATGATAAAGGGGAAAAAAAAGCAAAGACTTTAGACTCAGACTGGTTTCTACAGCCCTCCCCATACCCTTCATCATCTCCCCAGCTCTGTGACCAAAGAAAAATTACTTAGCTTTAATATCCTTATCTTTGTGGTGGACATACTAATGATCAAAGTAACTCATGTGAAACATAAGCAAGGTCCCTTACACAAAGTAGGCATTTAATATTAGTCCTCACCTTCCCCAGCCAACAAAGAGACCAGTTGTTACTGCATGCCTGTGTAGACCTGTGTAAGGTTAGAGTACAAAAGAAGACATGATTCTTAAAGAGCTTTAAATCCACTTGTAGAGACAAAACTAACATGTCTGAAACAGTTCATGGGCACGTAAACACCATTCTGAAAGTATTGTCTTAACAGTAGGCCTTCAAAGAAGGTGAAGACTAAAGAGTAAGATTTGATTCTCCAGGCAACTGAGAATAAATAGAAATCTAGAATCACAGAAGTATTTTCAAAAGGTTTTTAATTTATCCCCCTACTGAAAGCATTGCTTTTGAATACTCCCAGAAAGGTAGTTGTCTTCCCATTTTGTTTACATATGTGTGTCTTAGCACAAGATTATTCCTTGTTCATTTTGTAAGTCCAACATGGGTTAGCAAGAGGCTCTGCTCTACTTCACTCAAGCACCCAGGCTGATGGAGGCTCCATGTTCTTACTGCTGCCCCATTGACCTATCTGGAATATGTGGCTTATGAGTGCACTGAAGGAGGGCAACAAAGGGGTGATGCTTTTACTTGCCTTGTCCCAAACTTGAACACATTTCATTTCTGCTCACAGTCCAGTGATTCCCAACCTAAAATCTGAGAAACATAGAAAAGCACATGGAATATTTGTTAAGCACTGCCTCTACCACATGAATGAGCTATATGTATCAACATGTATGAATTCACAGACATAAAGCCAAATCCTCAAAAGCAAGTTGTAAAATAAGGATATGAATCATTTTGAGATACATACATTTTTACAAAAAGTATGAGGAAATACATGGATACACAAAATACAGTGTTAATGGTTAATCTTGGAGGAAGGGAGATGTAACTGTGGAAGGGCGTAAAGGGGGCCTGAATAGTATTAGTCATTGGGGTAGTAGATATGTAACTATTTTGTCATGTTATTCTTTATGCTTTTTTATATTCTTAAATATTACTTAGTAATTTTTTAAAAAACTAATTGGATATTTGAGATGCTATTTATGTGGCCAAGTTAAAATACAAGTTACATATTAGGCGGCTTCTCATTACAACTTTAATTTGAGCCAGGTGGGCGGTGGGGGGGGGGGGGGGGAGGGAATGCATATTGTCATCAGGTTAATCTTTCCCTGGTACCGACTGAGCATCCAAAATCCAAAGTGCTCCAAAATTTGAAACTTTCTGGACACCAGCATGATGCCATAAGCAGAAAATTCTGCACCTGACCATGTGACAAACGCTATCAAAACCTTGTTTCATGTACAAAATTATTTAAAATACTGTGTAAAATTACCTTCAAGCTATATGTATATATGAGACAAATGAATTTCGTGTTTAGACTTGGGCCCCATCCCCAAGATATCTCATTTTGTATATACAGATATTCAAAAATCCAAAAAATTCTACATCTAAAACACTTCTGGTCCCAAGCATTTTGAATAAGGGATACTCAACCTGTATGTTTTGTGGCTGCTATTCTCCTGCAGACTTTTTTAGTTACGAGAGACACTGAAGTTTAACACAGTGCATACTTAATAAGGTTATTAAGTGATGATTTGGGTCTAAATATTACAGATCGCAGAAATCCCTTGATTATACACTGCAGCCATTTTGAGAAGAGTATGCTCTCTCGATCACTGTTGTTCCCACAGGCTTTCTTACAGTATGATCATATATGAGCTCTTAGTTTAAATTTTGAAAATTTTGTAACACTTTATTTTCTCTTTAAGGAATTCCTATATATTCATTGTTCTTTTGCCCATTCTTAGAAGTTGCCATCTTCCTCCTCATGGATTTGGGTTGGAAAAGGATATTTCTGGCCATTTAATTTTAGTACAGTTGTTTGTTTTTATTTGTTTTTGGATGCCCAAGAGAGTCAGAAATCCTTGAAGCTGGGTGTGATTTCTGTTGTTACTAGAACTCACTTTGCTTTCTTCTAACCCTGAGCAGGAATTTGTATTTGATATTTCATTGTGGAGGAAGTAAGGGACCTTCCTAGGTTAATGATCCAACATTTAGGTTTCCTCAATGTTTAGACAGTACACTGTATAGTTTTGTATGCATATTTAAATGTAGAATAATTAGGAAAATAAATTTAACATTTTAGCAAAGCACACTTTAGAAACTTTGTTAAATGTTTTTTCTGGAGCATTAATAAACACTTTCCTCTCTTTACTTTCTAGCTTTATATCCATGCCTTCATTAACATTAGCCAGTCATAGCCGGGCGCGGTGGCTCAAGCCTGTAATCCCAGCACTTTGGGAGGCCGAGGCGGGTGGATCACAAGGTCAAGAGATCGAGACCATCCTGGTCAACATGGTGAAACCCCGTCTCTACTAAAAATACAAAAAATTAGCTGGGCATGGTGACGCGTGCCTGTAATCCCAGCTACTCAGGAGGCTGAGGCAGGAGAATTGCCTGAACCCAGGAGGCGGAGGTTGCGGTGAGCCGAGATCGCGCCATTGCACTCCAGCCTGGGTAACAAGAGCGAAACTCAGTCCCCCAAAAAAAAAAAAAACAAACATTAGCCAGTCATGTCATTGAGGGAGAATGTTTCTTCTTCCCTTCTTCACCTGCTTTGTAGGTGCTCATGGTGCCTGGGTTCAGTGCTGGGAATGCTTGAGTAGAAATCAAGACACTTAGCAACACAATAGGAAATCATCGTCTCCTCCTCTTAGTTACCACCAAGCAGATTAATAAAAGTAAACAGATCTGCCTGGTGGCAAATAGGAATTTGCAGAATGAGCCCAACCTGAATATCCCCCTCCACCTTTGGTGGCTCTGACATCAGGTTCCTTTGCATTAATACCTTCATTCTTTCTAATTAACATCAGGTATCTCAAATATGTCCCCACCTATGTTCACAAGAGCCTGGTAAATACACAAGAGCCTGTGTACTGATGTGGAAAAGTCAAGATAAAGTTAAAAATGTAAATTGTAAGACATGTACCATTATGATCACTTTTTGTTAATATATTTTTATGTGTACAAAAAGTTTGGAGTATGTATGCTCCATATTATTCATGTTCCTCCAGAAATAGAAAGTGAGTCTCATATCCAGGTGTTCCTGATAAGTCTGCCCTTTCCCAGCCTCCACACCACCCTTGGCAGGAGTGAAGAGGAGCTCCCAGATAAGCTTGATCCATTGAGCCCACAGGCCTGCCCAACCCTCATAGCTTGACCACCCCTCTCTGATTTAAGGTCATCAGGACTAATCTCTCTAATATGCCCTTCATCCCTGTTTACATTAGTCACCACCAGAAGTCCAGGAATCCAGACTACTCCCCTTCCCCCACCCCACTTTCCTCCTCACACTGCTCTTAAATATCTCCTAAATCCACTTCCAACCCTCCCAACTTAGATTGTCACCATGTCCTTTTGAACTCTGAACTCATGAGCATTCACCAGCAGAGTTTCCTATGTCTCTCTCTTCTCTAAACATATTTTCCTATCTCTTCTCTAAACATTTCCCTTCCTGTTATAACTGAAACTCATCTCTTCCTAAGGATACTGTAGCCAGTGAAATGGTGGCTCTATTCTTTCTCATTCCCACCACTATCCCGCTAGGCCTGGAGCAGGCAGTAAGTGTTCTTGCATTTCATTGCTATTCCAGACTATTCTCCTGGCTGCCTTCCTGAAACCAGCCCCACCCCAACTTTGAACTGTATGGTTAGACTCTGCTATCCTCTACCCCTTCTGATTGTAGTCATCTACCACCCCAGTTTACTTATTTCTTAAAGGTTTTATCTCCTGGCTTTATGACATGCTATTCAGTATTACTCTTGACACCATTTGAGTGTTTAGTAGATAAAGTATCCAGGACAGGAGCTTCTCAGTTCCTTGATCTCCTCTAATGAGTTTGTCCTCTGCCCTTCTTTGTTCATTTGCTGGCCTTATGTTTATGTCAGTGGTTTTAAGAGTATGGTTCCCAACTAATATTGTTAGCATCGCCTGGGGGCTTGATAGAAATGCATATTCTCATTCCCCAGCCCAGACCTAGTAAATCAGAAACTCTGGGGGTAGGGCTCAGCACTTTGTGGATTAACAAGCCCTCCAGGTGATTCTGATGCATGATTATGCCTGAGAACTACTGCCATAGTTCATCACTAAAATCATTCCCTTGAATATACTCTCAGCTTCCTTGTCATGCCCTCATTTCGTGGTACCCACCTGAACAGCTCCAGCTGAAATTATGTTCTCTGTCTACTCTGAGCTTTTATTTGTGCAGCCAAACTTGGCTGGAGAAGATCAACAACCATGCTGAGTGATCTTAAATTCATGACCACCAACCTCCAGTGGGTCTTTAGTATTGTCTGGCAGTCCTGCTATGTTTCCCTAGTCTATTCACTTTCCCGCTCTGCAGGTGCCTTCTTCCCTGTCCTCTAACCTCCAGCGTCTTTCCCATCCTCCCCCTCAGCTAATAATCTTTTTCCTATTGTACTAAGAAAACTAAAGCAATCAGAAGAGACCATTACCCATCTCCTACCCATATCAGTACTCTTATCTTCTCCCTTTCCTTCTATTTCTGTACATAAACTATCCAAGCTCCTATCTTCAGGTCAGGCCTATACTCAGGCTTTAATAATAGATCCCATTCCCTC